GTGTTTAATTTAAGATTTTTTCTTAATATTTGTTACCAACTAGATTCTTATAGATTTCGTATTATTTATTCACAACGAAAGCCTGTCTCTTGGAGATAGATATATTCTCAGAAGCGAACTGAGAAATTGTATTTGTGCATTTCTTGTTCTTATGTCAATAACCATTGTTCTCTTCTAAAAGATAAGCTCGATTTGGATACACTGTCAGATGAATAGATTAGAACAAGATTGTGGACAGGCGGTGTCTTGCATTGTCTGCATAACTACTTTCATTGTGGTTACAAGCCAAATATGAGTTGTGGGTTGAAGTAACGCGTGTGCATCGGCCATCAGTGAGCGGGTGACGCAGAGAATCGATACTTGAGAACAAACGTTCAACATCTCCCTTCATCTCTTCTCTATAATTCAGCAATCAGAAAAAAAAAATATTGTCTGCGTTTTGCATTACGTTTTGTATCTACCTCATATTCCTTCTTAATTACTGTTCGAAACAGCCTCTACCTCACATTCCTTCTTAATTACTGTTCGAAACAGCGCGTATCTGTGGAATATAAACAAAAATAATTAAGAAAATAATGTACAAAATAGATTCACAAATATGGACGTATTAACTAAATATCAAATAGTAAAAAATAAATAAAGATGTGCTTCTGAGGTAATCATATTGTGTCTCTTCGCAAGCTTCTCAAGAAACTTGCTTCCAAATAAAGCAATAATTTTAAGCAGTATAGCCCACCACATGCTCACATTTTGTCTTCTCGAAATTCTGAAGTGATTCTGATTAAATTTTGTGTTGGGATCTATGTTAAGATTTTTAGTCTATTCCTGCTTTCAACCTCTCCAGAATAATTTCTAATTTAAATGAAGTAAAAATTGAGCTTTATTTATCTTCTGAGAAATAGATTAATGGAAATGTAAAGCGCTGGTTTATTAGAGTCGTCTGCTGATGCCGTCAAACAAGAAGACGAAACGGAAGTAGCTGATAGAACATAAAGTTTGTAGAAAGAGCGGAAATAATAAGAGGACGGAAATAGGAAATGATACGAACAGAAAACGTGAGCAGTAAGAAATAAACTAATCAAATGGAGGAGCCGAAGAGCCTGCCATGTCGCTGCGAACTGCACAGTCGTCATCTGTGACCTGGGGCCGTGTGTCACTGCGTGTGTAATATTCTAACGGAATATTTCAGACTTCATGCGACGTCTCGGAGGTGATGCATACGAAGTATTCGTAAATATTGGCTTGTCCCTGCTCATAAACAGAACTGTGCTTTACCTCTATTTGATGTTCATGAAACAGCGTCTCACCCAAAGGGCATGTGACCCCTGCAGCTGCTGTTACTACTACTACTACTACTACTACTATCATTACCACCGCCACCACCATCGCTGCCTTCTATTTTGCGATGCTGTATGAACTTGCAGGTGGACAGCAACGTTTCCAAGGAACGTACTGTTTTCGGCTTCTGAAGATGAAGGCAATATGTCCCTCCGAAACGTTGACACCCATCTACAATTCAATACAGTATCTTAACCTAGAAGACTATTAATGTCATCTTCACAGCTAAACGCATAGATCATCATAGACCTATACATCTTTATGGTTTTAGTGTGACTTGGGTTAAATAATGATTGATATTGGCTTATTTGTAACATACACAAAACACATAAAACTTATGCCTTTATCAGTGTCGTGTTGGCTCTGTATCAGTATATGGAGTACCACTAAAGTAAGACAGGATACTTTTTATTAGCCATCTTTAAAATTGTTAGCCAGCAAAAGACGGTTAACGTGAACGCTAAGTCCGTTATGTGTAAGTTTAAACTCGGTTTAGAATATTTATGTTGCGTATTTGATTTCCCTTGTTGCACAGTAGTGGGTAAAAATGAGGTGAGTTAAGGAAAGTTCTGTTGGTGTTTGTGAATAAATTATTTTCATTTTAAGTTACCGTAAGCTGATTTCTCGAAAAATCTGTTTCGGATAGCTATCTTTAACACGAATTCCAATTATAATAATTAGAACTCTGTTAAATGCAGGAACTTTAAACTCCAGGACTTTTTATTAGGTTTTAATTCAATTAAAAACACGGGTTTGATATTTAATTAGCTCTCAGTTTCAGGACTTCCCATGAACACTGAGGCCCAAACTCGCGTAGGAACTGCAGAAAAGCATCCCGAACCACAACCTTACGAGTGGTTCTCATGGCACTAGATGAGAAATGGGAATAGCTAATCGATTTCCAAAGGCAGTCTGAACCAGCAGCTGAGTTGACATTAACTCGGATAACATACGCTTACTTAGAGGGTCAGACTTCATGATCAATTTCCAGCAACTTGAAGTCCGTGCTATATTTCTACCCTTTAGCGGCGAAGTATTTCGGTCAGCTTTTGTAAAAAATGTAAGCCTTCCTAAAAAGCTGGAATAAATCATCATTATAAAGATTCATTAAACAAACCAATAAACAGTGTACAATATATACAACTAGAAGCCCTGGGAAGAATGATTGATATCGTATATTTAAATTTTTACAGTGTAAATCAAAGCGGGATTTCCTAAGTGGCATGATCATGTCAAGTTTCGTAACAATTTGCCAGCTGGTTCCAAATCTATTGGAAGGCACACACGGGCACTTCGATAGTCTGTCGTCGTTGTCATCAACTGTAAGGACCAAGTTTTATTAGGCTATTCCGGCCACAAGATTTGTAATCATTGCGTCCTTTTATCATTTACAGTTCTCCCTTATCTAGTTTTTCTCTGACACTGACAAAAATCTTCTTTGCATCAATTTCTCCAATTGTAATTGATGTAACCAATATGGTTGGTAGTGAACAGCTGTTTTTACATTCAGTTCTTCTCTTACAGCCTGATGTAGAAACTTAGAACGCTTTTTAGTTGACATACATACCAATTGTTTGGAGTTGGGGGTTTGACAGTGGTGAAGATGTCGAAGTTAGTCGAACGTACAGGGCAGAAGATGGAGGCAGTATGTTCCTCCGAAACGTTGGTGATGCCTGATTGCAATTCGGCACGACTACGAAACTCAGAAAACCTACGTCGACATCTCTCCTGTTGTTTAATTACAATATTACATGCTTATCTATATATCAATATAAATGTACTAATTTCTTTATAAAATTTTGTTTAAAGTAATGGCTGTACACAACACATCTCTCTACCAATACCTAAGCTAACTACAGACGCACTTCTTGTGATTATATCTCCCCCCCCCCCCGGGTTGTTAAATGATAAATCTCTCTTAAATAAACTCGCGTCTTGGTTTTTGTTTGGTTTTATAGTCTCTGCTTTACTTCGATCAAAAATATATTTTTAAATAGTTAACGATGAAATTACCGCAAAGAAAATTTCTCCCGATTGCAGGGACTAAGACACAGATCTCACCAAACTGCCTCCTCAGATCATTAAGGGTGATGAACTACAGCTGCAACTTAAATCCTGACTATTTTGGGACGTTCTTTTTATTTATTTGAATTACTTTCGGAATTTTAGGCGTTTTCCATATTGAGTTCCTTCAAAGTTTAGATATACCCCATATCACTTCTAACACAATCTCAATTTATCATCGACGTCATCAGCATTATTCCCCAAGGGTTGTCATCTATCACCGTCAACTCAAGGGTAAAGGTGCGGAAGACATTATTCGGCGTTGAAAGGATTGGCACCAAGTAATGGTAAGAGTTTGTTTATACTTCAACTCTCACAACAGGCATAAAAATAGAAGCTTTTATAGGAGGTGAAATACCATTCTGGAGAAAGCGAGACTTAGTGAGTTCTTTGCACGAAACACATAAAATGACGTTATTTGGAATAGGGAGTAGGAAATGGTATCGATCCGCTTTTAATAAACGAATTCCAACAAATTTAGTATTTGGTCTTACATTGAAAGTTATTGAGTTGATTACTTTTGATAAATATTGGTAAAATATAGATTTTAATCGAGGCCCATTGTACGACCCTTGTCAAAGAATCTGAAGTGTTTCTTGCATTCACATTCAGGGAACGTCGAGTATTTTGTCCACCGTGTGCTGAACCACTTAACCCTATCTCATGTCAAAGCTGGAATCAACGAGTCTTTATATTCACGTTCGATATGTATCTTGGGCTCAGCAGCAAAATTTATTGCTTATTTTAAGTCCTTAGCGGTATCAAGTTGACTCGATAAATTACCCTTAGCTTCGATTAGAAATTTAGGTCCGGAGACTAACTACCTTGTCTGAGATTTTCCTGGATTTCCTCAGTCACTGCAGTTAAATGGCGTGGTAGTGCCATTACCGATTTTTAAAAATCACTTTCAATTCATCGTTCATTAATAATTTCTTTATGTGTCTCTGTAAAATTTGAGCTACTAAGCTAATAACAACATTGTTAATCAGACCACAAACAAAAGAATAAATAAAGTGCCGGTGGTTGAAGCCCCTGTTTATCTCTCCACTTTCC